ATTTTTGATTTATTGTAGAGATGAGGTCTTGCCAAGTTGCCCAGGCGGGTCTTGAAACCGTGGGCTCAGGCAATCCTCTCACCTCGGCCTCCCAAAGTGCTGGGATTATAGGCATGAGCCATTGCACCCAGCCAAGGGTCTAAGGTTTTATCTCAGAACACACTGCTGGGAAGAGCTAGCCTTCCTCCCCAACCCCAACAAGCAATGTGCCCACGCCCACTTCTGTCCCTGGAACCCAGGGCTCTAGGGTGTGGCAGCCCCTCCCTGTTGGGTGGCAGAATCAGTACTTGGGGTGGGAGGCTGATATTTACTGCGGTCTCCATGGTAAAGATTAGATGAGGTGGGCACATGGCATCCCAAGCAGCCACAGTTGCTGGAGGCTGCTCTGCCCTGCTGTGTCCTAGCAGCCCCTCCTGTGGGGTCAAGGTCTTGGTTGGGGTGGGGTTGGGTAAGGAGGCTGTAGGCCCATCTGCTGACTCAGGCCATACTGCCCAACCTTGAGCCCATTTGGAGGTATTCAGGGCAGGGGTGCTGTGGCAGCCTGGGGCTCCTATATCTCTCCTTCTTTTATCACCATATTCTTGGCCTTCACATCCAAGACCTCTGGGGCCCCCACACCAGACCCCCACCCCGCCTGGCTGGCCTGGCCTGAGATTCACCCGAAGGCTCTGCCACACTCATTCACTCATCAAGTGTGGATTAGCACCAGTGCAGGTGCTCTTCCACACACGTGTTCTAACCAGGACACTCAGCTCACACCCAGCTAATGGAGTTCCAGGGCTGGGTCAGAGGTAGGAGCCCCATGCCAAGTTGAGTGAACAAGACAAGGTCTCTGCTCCAGTAGGTCAGAGATGCTAGTCCTTTGAAGGTGATTTCTGGTGGTATATGTGTTGAAATGCTGTAGCCACAGACAACTGGAAGTTCAGATTCCAACAGAGGGAAACATTATTTTGTGCAAACTACTGTCTGTCTTGCTGCTATTAGGCAGGTCTGAGAGCTCTGGCTGGCAAAAAGTTTCTGGGGCAGTGGGCACCCAACTCAGCTTGGTGTGGTCTAGCCTTGGAACCCTGGAACCCATGGGCATAAGTTGGGTGTCCTTGCTTGTGACAGCAGGAGTTGCCAGGAGCCTGAGTAAGGCTGAGTGTTCATACGTTTGTTTTTTATGTGCATGTTGCAAGTATATGTGTTTGTGTGTCTTCTATTTGTGTGTATGCCCATGTGCTCCTGTGTGTTTGTACATGCAGGGATATGTATGTTTGTGCTTATGCATGCATCTTAATTTGTACATGCTGTAAGTGCAGTTGTGTTCATGTATGTGCATATGCACGCATGTGGTGCTTTCATGTACATGTTGGGGTGTGGAGCTTGTTTGCTGCAGGAAATCCCATCTGGGTATCTTCCCCTCCTCCTGCTCAGCCTGCTTCTCTCCTTTGCAGCAAAATTCCTTGAAGGCCCTGCAAAGCCTTGCTGCTTCTAGCTCCTTATTGCCATCTCTCCAATCAGACCAGCTCTAACTGAGGCTTGAGGTTGTGGCCTCTTGAATGCAGGGTGAGCCCTCACTGTGGGTTTCCAGTGGGGGTATGCTTTTCTTGTAGGAAGAAGTGACAGGCACAGCAGCCCTAGTAGAACTAGGTCTGAGGCAGCATTGCCAGGAAGGTGCCACCCAAGAACAGGAAGGACAGTGCAGTGGCTGTGGCCACTGAGGATGGTGTGACAGGCAGTGTTCTGCAATACAGCTTCTGGCTGGTGCTGGTGTGCATGGGTCAACGCTGGTGCAGTTTCTTGTTCACATTTTCAGTTCTTTTTTTTTTTTTGAGTTGGAGTCTCACTCTGTCGCCCAGACTGGAGTGCAGTGGCCGCTCCCGGCCACCGCAGCCTCGACCTGCTGGGTTCTGGCGATCCTTCCGCCTCAGCCTTCCAAGTAGCCGGAATTACAGGCATGCGCTACCATGCCCGGCTGATTTTTTGATTTATTGTAGAGATGAGGTCTCGCTGCCCAGGGGGCTCTCGAACCCGCAGGCTCAGGTAATCCACTCACCTCAGGCTCCCAAAGGCGCGGGATTACAGGCTGAGCCACCGAGCCCGGCTACATTTTCAGTTCTTTAGTAATAACCCCAAACAGGAAGAGCTGGGCTCAGTGGCTGCTGACTCTGGAAGAGAGGTTGACCTGAGAGTGCAGGAAGTGAGATAGCCTGGAGGAAAGGTGGGAGGGGCCCTCAGAATTCTCAGAATTCCCCATCCCTCCCTGCCCCCATTCACAGGGGTGTTCCAGGAAGTCTTGGAGGCCAGGAACTCTGGGAGACATCGTGTATGACTCACAGTCACTCTGTGTCTGTGTGCAAGGCCACTCTGGGCAAGCTCCGCCAGGTCCTGGGGGTCCAGAGCCTGGGGAGACACAATGTCTCTTCTATCTGTGCATGCAGAGGGGTCAGCACAGCTGGCTGGTAGGCAGCCCTGTGCTGGGCTCCAGGAAGAGGAAACTCACCGCGCTAGGTCACCTGTCGACTATCCACTCCGCTTCTTCTGT